GGCCCGCGGTCCCCCCCCCCCCCCCCCCCCCCCCCTGCAGATCAGGGGGAGGGGGAGCAGAGCGGAGCACAGCAGAGCGGCGGAACGCGCGGCCAGCTGACAGCCCAGACTCCGCGCGTTCCGCCGTCGCTTTGCTTCCTCTCCCTGGTCTGCTCGAGACCAGGGAGAGGAAGTGCCCCGTTCGTAACTGCGGATCCGACATAAGTCGGATCCGCGTAACTGGGGGACTGCCTGTATTACTGTTCAACTTGAGTATCTTAAGGCAACACGATAAAACAAAGCAAAAAATATTGGACAGCTGCCTTGAAAATGATCCTGAAAGTTTACCAGTGACCAAAAGCCAATCATCGGCCCTTATGCCGATATTAAAAAAACAACTATATCTCACTAAACCCAGGAAAACAAAAACAGCTCCAACCCTACAATCCTTCCTCACCAACTCCTCTCCCCCTGCAAATGCTTATGTAGAATTTTGCACGAAAGTAGTAGTGGAAGACTATGGAATATTTTTTGAAACATTTTTAAAATGGACATTGGTGAAAAATTGCATAGTTAAAAGTCATAGTAATGGGATATGGTGCCTTTTGCCTCTTCAAAAATCTGTTTTTAATTTGTGTTGCTGCATACTGTCCTGTGAGTTGTCAAAAAGTGATCTCACCTACCACACTGATAACGTGAGACTTCAGTGGAGTTCTCAGTAGTCGCAATGGTATACTGACACTGAGTTGACTGCAGTTCAGGGCCCAGTATGATTTAGATTTTGCTGTAAACATCAGAAGAAAAACGTCAATATTTGTTTTTAAAAGTATACATTTTGTATATTAATATGTCACACTCAGTCCTTCTGAATATTTTCCAGTCCGTGACAAATATGAACTGATTAGGCCTTGCACTATCACTTGAGGTAAAGGACACGATAGAATTTATTTTATTATGGTAGCCATTCTGGGTTCCCATCTTGCTAATTTCACTTTCTAACAAAGTAACTCTGCCTCCACTACGGATTTTCAGGGGGTAGCCAAGTTAGTCTGTTACAGAAAGTAATAGTAAGCAAATGGTCTGGTAGCACTTTATAGACTAACAAAACATGTAGATGGTATCATGAGCTTTCGTGGGCACAACCCACTTCTTCCGATGACCAGAGTTCTCGCCGCAGCCTTCGCCCCCTAACACTCCTACTTTACTTACACTACATCGATGACATCTTCATCATATGGACACATGGTAAAGAGACTCTTGAAGAATTCCACCAGGATTTCAACAACTTCCACCCCACTATCAACCTCAGCCTGGACCAGTCCAGAAGGGAAATCCACTTTCTGGACACTACAGTAAAGTTAAATAATGGAAAACTTTCAACCACCCTATATCGTAAACCCACAGACCACTATACTTACCTTCATGCTTCCAGCTCCCACCTCAGACACATTTTTCAGTCGACTGTATACAGTCATGCCCTACGATACAACCGGATTTGCTCCGACCCCACAGACAGAGACAATCACCTGCAGGATCTTTACAGAGCATTCATAAAACTGAGATACCCACCTGGGGAGGTGAAAAAAACAAACTGACAGAGACAAAAAAGTACCCAGCCATGAACTACTTCAAGACAGACCCAAATGAGAAAATAACAGAACTCCTCTTGCTGTTACCTGCAGTCCACAACTCAGACCCCTCCAAAGCATCGTACACAATCTACAACCCATCCTGGAAAATGATCCCTCACTCTCAGAGACCTTGGAATAAAAACCTATTCTTGCTTACAGACAACCCCCTAACTTGAAACATATTCTTTCTGATAACCATGCCACACAACCACTTCAAGACTTCAGGAACCCGGCCCTGCAACCAGAAAAGATGCCAACTCTGCCCATATATCTACAGTGACAAATTCATCACTGGAGCAAACAACACAAGCCACAAAATCAAAGGGTCATTTGACTGCTTATCTAGTAATTTGATCTATGCCATCAAATGCCAGCAGTGCCCCTCTACTATATATATTGGTCAAACTGGACATTCTCTATGGGAAAGAATCAATGGACACAAATCAGATATACGTAAAGAAAATACTCAGAAGCCAGTGGCAGAACATTTCTGTTTACCTAACCATAATCTCACAGATCTGAAGGTGGAGGTCTTGTCACAGGCCAGCTCCTCACGTCAAATACACAGGGAAAACTTGGAGTTACAATACATATGCAAATTCAATTAAATTATCAATGGACTTAATCAAGTTATGGGGTGCTGGACCCTTTATCACTGAAGGTGCTAACAACTTCCTGTATGGTATCCTTCCTGCTTTACCAGTCTATCCACTGACTTTGATCTTAATCTACTCGGCTACTTTGAAGTAGGAATAAGAGATCCTCCGGAATAGGGCTTTATGCCGGAGGATCGGGCCAGTCTAGGTGCTTTTTTTCCGGCTTTTCCCCAAGCCGGAAAAAAAGCGGCGGACATGTTTATTTAAATCCGCGGGGGATATTTAATCCGCGGATTTCCCTATTCCCACTTTCAAAATTAGCATGCCCCTTCCAAAAAAGGGGCCAGTGTAGACGTAGCCCTCAGGTTTAGTACCCTTTCTCCTGATACTTTATGTATAGAGGTAGAGGGGTGGGCAACAAAGCATCTTTCTCTTTCCTCCCCTCCCCCCCTTCCCTTCTCCTATTTATTTCGAGTTTTCTTATCTCCTAGTCATAACTCCGGTCATCTGAAGAAGTGGGCTGTGCCCACGAAAGCTCATGGTACCATCTACATGTTTTGTTAGTCTATAAAGTGCTACCAGACCATTTGCTTGCTGTTTTTTTTCCACTACAGATGTTAGATAGTGTGTTACAGGGATGTAAGCGATTAGTTGCTTTCCCGCCCCGCCTTTGCTGCCTCTATCAGAGAGAAGCAGCAATGGGAGGAACTGGATCCAGTGCTGGGGGAAACCGCCTTAAAAGCCAGTTCCCCCCAGCACCATCTCCATGGGGAGAAGGAGCAGGGGCGCTGCGGAAAACTGGCAGTGCCTTTTGGTACCTCTAAACTGCATGGCTATTTCAGGATACCAGAAGGATACCCCGCATCTTCACAAGCCGCCTGTTATTTTGAAATATTTTTTGAAATAACGGGCACGCTATTTTGGCATCCCTGTAACTCTTGTTAACTTTGAGGGTTAAGGGATGTAGAGGTGCCAAATTTCAAAATAAACTATTTTGAAATAGCAAACTACATAAACTATTTGATTAGTTGATTAATCTAAATTTAACATACGTAGCGTGTAATTGAACAGTTGTGTAACTTCATCACATTTTAGCAGTTACACAACTATTCAATAGGCCGTGGCGGTGGCAGCCAGTGCACTCACAGACCCACTCCCAGAAAGCCCTCTGCCACCCTGCACGCTGCTGCCTATCAGAAAAAATATACTTTTAAGCTGGTTCCCCCAAGCTCCAGCCTGCCTCCCCCCTCACCCTGCTGCCTCTTTAGGCAGCAACAAGGGGGAGCAGGCAGGTCCAGAGAGCCAGCACCTGCATAAAGCTGGTTTAAAAGCTCCTATCAGCTCCCACCTGCACCCCTCAGCCTCTGCACTGCTGCCTCTCAATCACCAGCTCCCACCTCACTGCCTCTGATACAGAGGCAGCAAAGTGGGAGGGGGTAATGCACATAGTCAACAGGATTAACCGATAAGCCCAGGTTTATTGGGTAGTCAAATACAGAGGATGCAATTCCAATCTTTGCCTTGATATTTTATTCATAGAACTGCAGTGTCACAAGTACTTTTTACCCCCAGAACTTGTGTGCTGCTGCGGGACTATACACAGTTATAGGGTGCGTCTAGACTGGCAAGGGTTTGCACAAAAGCGGCTGCTTTTGCGCAGAAACTTTCCAGCTGTCTACACTGGCTGCTTGAATTTGCGCAAGAGCACTGACTTTGTAATGTACAAAATCAGCGCTTCTTGCGCAAATACTTTCACGCGCCCGCTTGGGAAAAAGCCCTCGTGTGCAAGAATACTTGTGCAAGAGGGCCAGTGTAGACAGGGAAGAACTGTTTTGCGCAAAAAAGCCCTGATGACTAAAATGGCGAGCGGGGTTTTTCTTGCGCAAAATCCCGTCTCGACTGGCCACGGATGTTTTTGCGCAAAGGCCCCCGAGCCAATCTAGACGCGCTTTGGCGGAAATACTTTTAACGGGAAAACTTTTCCGCTGAAAGTCCTTCCACACAATCCCACCAGTCTGGACGCAGCCCTGGTGTGAACGCGCGTGCAAGGCTGGCACCAATCAGATTAGTGAGTCGGACACACCCCTGGGAGCCCCCATCTGCCCTC